CCATGTCCTTCCTGCTGGCTTGAACTTGGCTCTTGGCCTTCTGCCAATTTGAACTAGGCTCTGCCTCACTCTTCTGGAGCCAGTCTGGAGCTGGTCTGAGTTCTAAGCTCAGGCCTTCTCCTGGGGGATATCTGAGCCCAAATAACTCACTAGCCACTGTAGTCCACCGCATCCACTGCTCTGTCCCACTGGTGTGTTTCTCCATGGAATCCTCTGTGGTTGCCAGTAGTCACTTGCATCTTCAGGTTCAAGCCACCCCCCCACCCCACAAAGTGAGTCAGGGCTCAGGAAGAAAGCGCTATTGCCTCCTTCACTGAAGTCTTAGCTCTCCCCAGGGGCTTCAGTTTTCACTTCAAATCCTTGCTGGGTCTTCTTCCTCACATTGCTATATTCCAGTGTCTGGACATCAAATCTCAGAGAGGCTGTTTCTCTCCTGCTCACCATTCTGCCATCTTCCTTTTTTGTTTTTTTGAGACGGGGTCTCATTGTGTAGTTCAGACTGACCTTGAATTCACTATGTAGCCCAGGATAGCCTCAAACTTATGGCGATCTTCCTGCTTCAGCCTCCCAAATGCTGGGATTACAGGTGTGTGCCACCGCACTTGGCCTCTTTCAGAGATTTTTAAAAAACCCAAAATCCACTCGAGTCATGCATTGCACTTAGCTATTATGCTTCTTACTTATAATCTAGAACAGTCACCACCACCCTGCCCCCTCCTGGGACTGAACTCAGGGCCTTTACCCTGAGCTACTTCCTCAGCATTTTTTATTTTTTATTTTTACGCAGGGTCTCACTAAATCACTAAACTGCCTATGCTAGACTGGAACTTGTGATCCTCCTGCCTCAGCCTCCCAGAGTTCTGGGATTACAAGTGTGTGCACCTGGCTCTGTCATTTCTTAAGACTGACTCTTCTTAAGAATCCAAATCAGTTGTCAACAGCTGAATTACAGGATATCATACCTCCTGGATCTGTTGGATCATGGCTGGACTCGTGCCATACATGCATCGCATGCCTTTTTGGCAAGGGGACTGTTGGGACGGTCATCTGTGTTTCCAACACATCCCACTTGGGGACTCAGAATGTCGGGTGGCCTCTCCATGGGAGATGCTAAGCTTGGACATTTGGTGAAGGCTGATGTTACCCTAATGTTTTTTGCTAAGGGTCAAAGGGACCAAAGTCTCTTGCCTAGGGCTTTCAAATGCTTCTTGGTGACAGGAATTGTTTGCAGTGGTTACACACTGAGGTTTTGTTCTTAATTTTCTGCCCTTCCCTTTCCCCCAAGAACCTAGTTGGGAACTGCTCCTTAAAAGAAGTCAGACTTGTGGAGCCCTCTTTCTAATATAGCAGCACAGTTTTGCCTCTTGATTATTCACGGGTGTCACTGTCACAGTGTCATTGCACTGGCTCCTGCATATCCTTCTGAAGATTCCCTCCTCAGACCAATCTGTAAACAGTGTCTCTCACAGAAAGCACCCTCATAGCTTCTCCCTCCCACTACACCTCTTTCTTTAACTACAGCCTTCTCAGCTTATCTGATTGTTTTGAGGGCAAATTTCTCAATGTGGTGATAATATATGTGTAACACTTGTAACAGCTCCCTTAGCCCAGAGGTTCCTGTCCCCAGCAGCGGCTCCAGTAGCAGGTGTAGCGGGTGGGAAGGAAGGGAAGCACCTGTTCTGAGTCCGGGGAAAAGGGCTCTGGTGCCCAAGCTGTCTGTTTTGGATTCTTCCCAGGACTGTGACTCTGCAGCTTTCTGTAGATACACAGTCTACACGGGTGTTTCTTAACCTAAATGGTTACTATTTTGGAGGTTTCACAATTTCTGTTCCAAGTAATTTATTATGTACCTTTTCATGTACTGCTGAATTCAAGGCCATTGTCGATTGGGAACAACCAGGAAAAAGAAATCACCCAGATTGTTTGAAAAAGGAGATTTAATTCAGGAAACTGGTAACATATGGTAGAAGAGCCGAGAAGCCAAACAGATACTAGATGGTCAATGAGACGTTAGCAGTTTCCCTAAGTTGGAAGGAATATTGGGGTAGCAGATTGTAAGGGTCAGCAGGAGAAGCTCCAGGATGTCTCTGTCCATCGTGGGCTCTCTGCTCCTGACTCCTACTGACCGAATCTGCTGGAGGCCAGCTGACCTGTTTGGGACTCAGAGCGTTCAGAAGCCAGCCCCTGACAGCCGGACAAGAGAAGAGGAGGGCAGGGGAGGATGGGACTTCGAGGACAAATAGCTCTCAACCTGCACAGTCATCTGTCCCTGGGATTAGTCATCTGTTCCTGAATCATCAGTGTAAACATTTTAACCCAACCTTCCTGTTTACCTTTTACATGTTTAATTAGTATCATGATATAGTTATCCTTCCAGCCAAATTATTCACTCTTGTTTTCTCCTGCGTTGTGTAGCTGTTGACTTATCTTGGGGAAGACTAACAACCATTTCCCCAGCTCATTGGTGTCTGGAACTCAAAAATAAGAATTATGTGTTAACTGCCTTTACAGTTAATGAAACACTTTCACATCTATTACTCCATGTGATTCTCATAATGCTCTGTGAATAGTTATTATGATTCCTGATTTATAGAAGGATTGAGTTTTGAAGACTATATAAATTGCTCAAGAATAAACAAGCAGCAATGGCATAAGGATTCGAACTCTGGACTCTTGAGTTCCCGACTCTTGAGTTCCCGAGTCTATAGTCTTCCCACCATATTCTACTGCTTCCTGCCAGAAAGAGTTGTTCTGGGAAATAGCAAGATTTTTTTTTTTTTCTCTGAACTGATTGGCTACCTTTAGGAGGAAAGAGAGGCTATATTTCAAATCTGCAAAATTCCTGGTGACCCACAAGTGAAATTTACACTGCTGGGTGTGAGGGACACCAGAGATATGTAGCATTTGTCAGAAGTTACATTGCGTCAGAAGAACCACCTCTGATCTTGCCCTGTACCCCATCAGTACTTCAGAGATGGGGATGGCTGTGCTAGAAGGATCAGAGTCACAGCAGCACCTTCCCACCCCAGGCCCAACAGGAAGGGAGGGCGTCATCATAGAGTTCCTGTCTCCCCATCTCTCCTCAAAACAACACTGGACAGCCAGTGAAATTAGAATGTCAGATAAACAATTTTTTAGCATAAGTTTGTCTCTGACATTCAAATGGTGCCTTGGCATTTGCTAAATCTGGCAACTTTGTCTCGATCAAGGTGGGTGGTGAGCCCAAGGTTTCAGGATGTATGGGAGGAATCAGAGCACAGGAGTCCACTTGGCTGTGCTTTTGCCATCTGTGTCCCCGAAGGCCAGGAGGTAATAATCCCTGCACAGGTGCAGAAGTAGAAGGAGGGCTGGATAGGGGATTGCCAGATCCAGCAAGTGCATCCTGCTGAGTTCTGAATCACAGGTTCTCTCTGTGGTCTGGAGAAGTGACCTGGCCTTAAGTGAAGGCTGAGGGCGACTCATCTGGTTTCACTTAGTTTTTCTGGTACACTGTTTTCACCAGGGAGCATTCAAATCTTAACCAGGAAGTTAAAATTAGTACTTGAGATGGGTAAGCGAGATGTGTGAAGGGGAAGAGGGAGGGGCAGATGGTGGCCTCAATGCATCAGCAGATGTAAGTGAGGGAGGTTCGCGTGAGCACCGTGCTACACTGAGGCAATTCCTGGACCTGCCCGGGACGCTGCAGGACGATGGAGCAGAGGGAACGCAGGGCCAGGCACTTGTCGCTGATTCTTGAGGAATGCAGAGCTGGGAGGGGCAGCCATGGGTTACAGCTCTCCTAACAGGAGGGCAGTCAGTGCAATGCACCCACAGGGAGAAGGTACTGGCTACTCATCCTGGAGCGCGAGGAGAGGAACGGGACCTGGGGCTGCTCTCAGCCCTGCCATTTGTTGATCTGGAGCCCTTCTGAGCCATCGTTACCTCTGTGCTTTTGTCCGTTCCCCGGTAAAATGCGATGGAGGGGCATATGTGGTTCCTCTCAGTTCTAAAATTCCGTTGTTAAAGGTACAACTTCAAGCCTCCTCACGATGGCCACCTGTCATCAGTAATTTTTATTACATCTGAAGATGTTTTTATTTTCATTTTCTCCTCAAGTTTTTGAGGAGTTTTTGCCTCTATACAGGCAAAATATCAAAATTCTTTTTTCTGCTTTTTGAGACAAGGTCTTGCTATGTATCCCAGGCTGGCCTCGAACTCAAGGTGCCTGGTGAAAAGTCTTCTTTGAAAGGGCTATGTTTAGGGTCAGGGGTTTAGCTCAGTGGTTCCACTGCCTGCTTTGCAAGCACAAGGTCCCAAGTTCGATCCCTGGTTAAAAAATAAAAAGCAATCAAAGGGCTATGTTTAAATGAGTTAACTAATGAAAACTCTTTTCTTTTTTTTCCTCTCTGTATGAACCACAGCAAATTGAATCCAGGGCATGCTACGCAAGCACCCTACCACTGAGCTACATCAATAGCCCCTAGATCCATATTTATTTATTCATTTATTTGTTTATTTTTGGAGACAGAGTCTTGCTAGGCAGTTCAGGCTGTTCTTGAATATGTAGCAAAGGCTGGCCTCAAATGCTCAATGATTCTCCTGCCTCAGCCTCCCAAATGCTGGGATTAGAGAACATACCACCACAGCCAGATTTTCAGCACATATTTCTTGAGCTTGTGCAGTGCATCAGGCAGAGTTGAACAGATTTACAGATTTACAAAGTCAGGGCTACCCCAGATGTCCTAAGGCCTGTTTGAGTCCTTTGTTTCTCCTGTGATGGACTCTGAAGTTTCAGAGTTCAGGCACCTGTCTATCAGGTGGTAGAGGCAAAATGAAAATGAGTTCTTGTCAATGGTTTCATTGAAAGTGTTGGTTAACATGAGTGATTTGAGTAATCTGTGGGTTTCTACCTCCATTAGCTATGGGCCTCTGAGACCAGACATAATGGGGAACTGGCTCCTACCCAGTGCAAAACAGCCTTCCGGGATGTCCTTGTCTCACTTGCTTCTTTCTGTCCACAGCGCTGCACTTGAGATGGAGCTGCTGCCCCTGTGGCTTTGCCTGGGTTTTCACTTCTTGCCCCTACAATGGAGGAATGGAAGTGGGGCGGCCACAGCAGTTTCCCAAGGGGGCTGCAAGTTGGTGAGTCTCTCCTCAAGCCCTAACTTCTCTTTCGCTCCTGTCGTAACAAGGTTTGGTCTACTCAAAAAGCTGATGGGTTGTCAATGAAAGAGGTCAGGGAATGACTGGGTCTGATTCACTCTGTACTTGCCTCACCCAATGCCATGTGCAGCTGCTCTTTAACCAAACATCCTCAAGATGGTGCCAGGAAAAAAGCCAGGCAGCCCCTGCCCCCCGCTTTCTCATACCTGCTGAAGGCAGGAGGCCCCAGAGACAGGCCTAGGTCAGCCATCTGGTACAAGAACATCTTGTCAAAAGTCCAAGCTTCACAGACAGCACCAGAACTGCTGGGGGAGGCAAACCAGAGCTGGAGCAGCCCTACCTCTGTGACTGTGTGTGAGCCAACCAGAAATGCTAGACAGCCCACAGCGAGCAGCTCCACGGCCATTCTTAAACTAAGAAGGTGCAGACAGTGGATTCCTGAGCCGGGACAGCAGCCTTCTCTGGGGCTCTCGGCCTAGATGCAGAGACAGACCTGGGTCAGTTCAGCACATTGCCAAAAACACTCTCCTTGCTGACAACCCCGTGATATCAAAAGTATGCTCGGGGAACATGCATTTAATAAACACTTCTTGAGCCCTGCTGTACTCCAGGCACTGGGGACACAGAGTGGTTGTCAGAGCTAATGCTTACATTCAGGAATTCTTTCATTTGTTTGTTTTGTTTTTGGCGCTGGGGAAAGAATGTGTTCAAGCTGATGAATCTTAAAAAAAAAAACAACAAAAAACATCATGGTTCTGAACCACCAAGCTGGAGAAAGCTCCCGTATGTCAGAGTCACAACCTGACTGACCACGTTTAAACCCCAGCTCGCCACTGATTAGCTGGTGACACTGGGGCCACTTTGTGTCGCTGCTTCCTCATCTGTCAAATAGAGGTAACAATAATACCTATGAATAATGCCACAACACGTGGGGTTATGGTGATTAAATGAGTTAATCTATTTAAAGCACTCAGGACAGTACCTGGTCTGTGGTGAGTGCTCTGTGCTTTATTTATTATCACTAGTATCATTTTTATTAGTATTATTATTAATCTCTGCTACCTTTGACCTCCACCATTCCCTTACAGAGGTAACAAAAGATTAACCTCAAAGTGGCAGTTCAGGGACCACCAGCCATAAGAAGAGAAGGGAATAAATCATGAATTCTTTGACCACCTTTCAGGGTTCAGTCTAGACTCTACAGAGAGCTCAGAGTGGATGGCTTGAAACTCTTCTGATTTCAGGACTATGAGTTTGAGAGTCCAAACTCTCTTCAGGACTATGTGTTTGTCCTTCATTACATCAGTCATTAGATGTGAAAGTCCACAGGGTAAGGTTTCCTGGGGCTCTCATGACCTTGCAGTCCTGGGTGGCACTTGAGTGTATCAAAAGGGGATTACCAAGGTCTGACCCTTTGACTACAGCACTTGTAGTAGAATAGGGTCTCCCAATCTTGAGGAAAACCCCTAACCACAGCACTTTCCGGAGAGTCCCCATGGGAGGGGGAGACCAACAGTTACTCAGATGAAGAAATGCAACTTTGTCTCTCTGGATGGGGGATTCGATTCGGTGAAATGTAAGTTTTCCCCCAAATTAATCCATAATGGTAACACGACCCCAATCGATTCCAAAGGCATTTCTAGGGGGAGTGGAGGTGTGGAAGGAACACAACAAATTCACTCTAATGTTTTGCTGGAAAATTAAAACAACTCAAAGTCTCAATGGGGAGATTAATCAGATCATGCTACTATTTATGGCTGATATTTATTAAGCATATCATGCTAATAAGTACAGCTAGCACTTATTAGACACAATAAATGTGTTTTGCATAAGCAATTATACTCAACACTAAAAAAAGTACAAGTATAATTTCCATTGTGCAGGACAGGTAATGGAAATCCTTGTGGTTAGGTAACCATCTCAAGGTCACTCACTTGAAAGGGCCAGGGATTTAGCTCAGTGGATCCACTGCCTGCCTCACAAGTACAAGGACCAGAGTTCCACCGCTGGTACAAAGACAAAAAAAAGCAGAGCCAAGGGGCTAGAGTATAGCTCATTGGTAGAGCACACACTTAGCATGTGTAAGGTCCTGAATTCAATCTCCAGCACCAAAACAAACAAACAAAAGCAGAGCCACAGAGCATGGTGGCACAAACCTGTGATCGCAGCACTCGGGAGGCTGAGGCAGAGTTAGTGCAAGTTCGAGGCCAGCCTGGGCTAGTGAGTTTGAGACCAGCCTAAACTATATAGAGAGAACCTGTCTCAAAAAAAAAAAAAAAAAAAAGAAGAACCATGATGAAGTGACCTAGAACAGTTGCTATTCATGCAAGGAACTAATACAGTTCCTGAAAAGCATGCTGAAATTTCTTTTTACTGCTAAGGCAATATATCATATATTATTGAGAGAGAAGGAAAGTGGGGTTATAGCTCTGGAAAAGAGCCAGAAGGACATGTAACAAAAGGTTGATGGCATTTCTCTGAGGGAGAAATGAGATTACTGAAGAGTTTAGTTTCCTGTATTTCAATACAGCATCAATTTATGATTACCAGAAGGTTTTGTTTTAAAAATCAGCTAAGATAACTGGCACGTACCAAGTCCTTTCAGGATCCCTTTCCTCCGAGCCCCAACCGTTCGGAATCGGAATTGTTGATCAAAGACACAATAGAAAGCAATGTGGAGATAGTGTTGTTCTTGGGGGGCAGCTGTGGGCCCGCGAGGAGAGGGAGGGAGCACTGGGCAGATGCACTCACCCCCCCCACACACACACATGGGGTGCCGGTCGGCCAGTCCCAAGATGGTGGCCACCATGCAGAAGGAGGCTGCAGAAGATGTCAATGTTACTTTTGAAGCTCAGCAAAAGATAAACAAATTTGCGCGGAATACAAGTAGAATCACAGAGCTAAAGGAATAAATAGAAGTAAGAAAGAACTCCAGAATTTAGAGGATGCTTGTGTTGACATCATGCTCACAGATGAGGACAGCGTAATGATGCCTTACCAGATTGGCGACGTTTTCATTAGCCATTCTCAAGACATGTTAGAAGCAAAGAAAAATTTACAACAGGAAACTGATGCCTCAGAATCCAGAGTAGAATCAATTCAGTGGGTGTCAGCAGATTTGAAAGTTCATTTATATGCAAAATTTGGCAGCAACATAAACCTTGACGCTGATGAAAGTTAAACATTTTATAATCCCTTTTATAATTTGTTTAGTAAATGAATATTGTTTAAAATGATAATTTCCCTTCTTCAAATGACATGGTAAGGGAAACTTTCTTTTTTAAAGTTTTCATTTATTTAGGGAAAACTTGCCTATTTTCACATGTTTTAACATGTATATATAGATCTAGATAGATAGATAGATAGATAGATAGATAGATAGATAGATATAGATAGATTTTGTTTGGTACCAGGGATCAAACAACTTGGGTCCTTGCACTTGCGAGGAAGGTGGTGGAACCACTGAGCTAAATCCCTGGACCCCATTTTATATTTTTAAAAGAAGACAATATTCATCTATGTATTTTGCATAATGTTTATATTAATTCTAGGGGCTTTACATCATGTTATTAAAATCAGTTAAACAATCCTCCGTGTGTCTATATTATTTAGAATACTTGCTGCAGTTTTCATTTACAGAAAAGGTAACAGTTGTATCCTATACCTGTATGTCTGATTCTGGTTGCTGTCTCAGGATGGTGAAAGCCCTACAGAAATGTACAATACTGTACCTGTGTATTCTGTGTATTTCAGAACTAAAACTTTGTAACTTACTAAAACATAAATAAAATAAAATAAAAATCAGTTAAGGAAGTTGAGGCTCCAAGGTGAGTTCTTGACCAGGGTCCAAAGCTAGTAAGTGGCGGAGCTGACCAGTGCTCCAGCCTGGGTCACTTCCTTTCCCTCCGGACTTTTCTCCCTTTCACCTGCCCCCAGGGACCAAACCCACACTTTCTCACCATCCCTGGACCTGACCAGCTTGCAGAAATAAGTGACATTGTTCCTCTAATTTACCATGTAAAACTTTTTTCCTGGACACCTACCTGACATCCTGCAGCTAAATTGTTTTGGCCAATTTTGCTAAACATGGGCTGTAGGTAAATTAGCCTGTTTTGTGTGATTTCTGCAGTGAAGCCAGGACTGCCCCATCCCTTCTGCCTCCTTACACTGCCCAATTATGTAGAAGAGCACTCAGGAAGAATGATGAATTAAGCATTCTGATCCCTGGGCTCTGGTCCCAGAACTGCCATTGGCTCTTCCCTTCTTTCTTCCAGGCCACTTTACTTCTCTGTAGAATTCAAGTGCTGACCAGCTTGAAAGACTTTTAAGCTGTAAGATTTATTTATGCAGAATGTAAGGAGGCTTCCTGGGCAAAATTACTTTGGGTGAGATGAAGCTGTCATAGTGTTGCTGGCTGTTGGTGGTGACTATGTTAGATACACAGATGTTATGTCACATTGGTGACAATCCAATGGGAGCCATGTACCAAGTGCCAACTGTGTGCCAGACACTGTGCTAAACTCTTCATGAGTGACTCCTTTCATCCTACAATCCTTAGAGTAGGTAATGTTTTTAGCCCCATTCTTTTCTGAGGAAATAACAAGCCTAGGCTAAATTATTTTCCAAAGGTCACACAGAAAATACATGGTAGAGATGGAGTTCAAATCCCAGTAGAGACCTAGTCTGCAATCGTCATAGTTAAAACCAAATGGCAGGTATAATTGTCACCTCTCAGTCCCTGATGAACAGGGGATCAGATTTTTGTTTTTTTGTTTTTGTTTTTGTTACTGGGGATCAAACTCAGGAACTTGCACTTGTCAGGAAGGTGCAGGCAGTGCCTAGATATTTTTTAAAGTGTGAAGGTAAAGAAAATTTTCCAGGCTGGGATTTAGCTCAGTGGTTCCATCACCTGCCTTGCAAGCACAAGTTCCCGAGTTCAATTCCCAGTACCTAAATAAATAAAGATGGACTACTTCAACAGAGCAATAGTTACACTGATAGCCAACTCCTCAGGAGCAACAATAACAGTGAGAAGTCAAAATGGTGTCTTCAACATTTTCCTACCATTTTATTATTAGTATCATTAGTAGTGGGAGGGGTTGAGACAGGGTCTCACTAGGTATCCTAGACTGACTTTGAACTCATGATCCTCCTGCCTCAGCCTTCCAAGTGCTGGGATAACAGGTGTGCACAACCATTCCTAGATTCATATCTTAAGAGTTCTGATTGTGTGTGTGTGTGTGTGTGTGTGTGTGTGTGTTAGTGGGGATTGAACTTGACCTTGCACTTGGGGGACAGGTGTGGTGTCATTGAGCTAAATCCCCAGCCCAGGAACTCTGATCTTTAGAGTCATTCAGTGGTTCCAAGGATAGTCCAGTAAGTGAATAAAGTTTCTATGCATAAACCTCTGCCTTCCAGACGTGCCCTCTGTTGACTCGTGTTTTTAAACCTAGGTGGATGCCCTTGCTGACTGTCAAGGACAGAACCTTGCTTCAGTGCCCATCAGCCTCCTGACCCACTCCCAGGTGCTCATCCTGGATGATAACCCTCTCAAGACCCTGTGGAATCACTCCCTCCAGCCTTATTCTTCCTTGGAGAGCCTCAGCCTGCGCAGTTGCCAGCTGGAGTGCATTGGCTGCCATGCCTTCCAGGAGCAAGGCCGCCTGCAAAGTCTGGCCCTGGCTGACAACAGCCTCTCCGAGAACTACAAGGAGACAGCAGCTGCTCTCCACACCCTGCGGAGGCTGCAGAAACTGGACCTATCTGGCAACTCCTTGACAGAAGACATGGCAGCCCTCATGCTCCAGAACCTCTCCTCCCTGGAGGCTGTGTCCCTGGCCAGGAACACCCTCATGAGGCTTGATGAGTCCATCTTTGAGGGCTTGGAGAACCTCAGGGAACTGGATTTGCAGAGGAACTACATCTTTGAGATAGAAGGTGGTACTTTTGATGGGTTGACAAAGCTGAGACGCCTCAACCTGGCCTACAACAACCTCCCCTGCATTGTGGACTTTGGTCTCTCCCAGTTGCATGTCCTCAACATCAGCTACAATAGCCTGGAGTGGTTCCTGGCATCCAGGCAAGAGACCACTTTTGAGCTGGAGATGCTGGACCTGTCTCACAACCAGTTGCTGTTTTTCCCTCTCCTGCCCCAGTGCAGCAAATTACACAGCCTCCTACTGCAGGACAATAACATGGGCTTCTACAAAGACCTGTACAACACCTCCTCGCCACAGGACATGGTGGCCCAGTTCCTCCTAGTGGATGGCAATGTGACCAATATTACTACTGTTGACCTCTGGGAGGAGTTTGCCTACAGCAACCTATCAGCTCTTCGCTTCCTGGACATGAGCCAGAACCAGTTCCAGTACCTGCCCGATGGGTTCCTGAAGAAAATGCCCTCCTTAGCCCGCCTGAACCTCAACAGGAACTGCCTCGCCACAATGTACTTCTTGGAGCCCATGGGCACACTGGCCGAGCTGGACCTGAGCCACAATATGCTGTCAAAGCTGCACCTGGCCCCGGGTCTCACTGGCTGCCTCAGAAGCCTCCGCCTGCTCAACCTGAGCAACAACCAGCTTCTGGACATCCCTTTGGGCCTCTTTGCAGATGCCAGTAACATCAATACCATAGACCTGAGCCACAATCAGATCTCGCTTTGTCCCTGGCCACTTCCGGTTCCGGTACTACTTCAACTTCCGGTTCCTTCCAAGATGCCAGACGCCCCCAGCTGTGTGGACTTCCGGAATATAGCATCTCTGAGGATCCTCTCTCTGGAAGGCTGTGGGCTGAGGGTGCTCCAGGACTGTGCGTTCCAGGGCACACCCCTCACTCACTTAGATCTGTCTGGCAACTGGGGCGTCCTGAACGGAAGTATGACCCCTCTCAGGGCCATCGCACCCACATTGCAGGTACTGTCTCTGAGGAACGTGGGCCTTAGCCCTGCCTCCACCAAGTTGGACTTCTCGGGCTTCAAGCATCTGAAGGAACTGGATCTGTCAGGAAATTACTTAACTAGCTTCCCAAGGGTTCAAGGTAGCCCGGCCCTGCGGACCCTAGATCTCCGGCGGAACTGGCTCACCGCGCTTCCTTTGCGGGATGAATGGGAACAGTTCACTGGGAGCCTGAGCGCTGTCTACCTCAGCCAGAACCCCTATGACTGCTGCGGACTGGACAGCCCGGCAGCCCTGCAGCGCCTGCACACCGTGGCCGACTGGACCATGGTCACCTGCAACCTCTCTTCCAAGGTCATCCGCGTGGTGGAGCTGCCTGCAGGTGAACCACAGGGATGCAAGTGGGAGCGGGTGGACATGGGTCTGTTCTACCTCGTGCTTATCCTCCCAAGCTGCCTCACCTTGCTGGTGGCCTGCACTGTCATCGTTCTCACCTTCAAGAAGCCTCTGCTGCAAGTGATCAAGAGCCGCTGTCGCTTTTCCACCATATACTGATTGGCCACATGCGAGGAGTAGTTAGAAATTTGCTTCTTGAGATAGGCGGGGTGGCACGTGCCTGTAATCCCAGTACTCAGGAGCCTGAGGCCAGCCTGGGCTACATAATGAGTTTAAGGCCAGCCTGAGCAGCATAGCAAGACCTTGCCACAAACAAGCAAACAAAGTTGCTCTTTGCATAGAAGGAGACTTTGCTTGATTTTAAAGTCTGTTGTTGAAACCGAATCTCTTGAATTGAGGATTAAATTAAGATATTAAAATGTTTCCATCCCTTTGTCCCTTCAAGTCCTTTGTGTATCCTTGTGATGCATCTTTATCATCCTGGTAAAGTATTTATTAAGAGATATTCTATGAAAATAAAAGACAACATGCCTCAAATATATTTTAAATCAAATGTAGCTAGTTTTTTTTTTCTTTATCTATTTGTAACATCCTTTGGTAGTTTCCCTTGGGTTATTTTTCAGTTCTCTTGGTGACATTTGTGAAAGTGAAAAGGTGGCAATCCTCTGCCACCCTACAGCAAGCACAGCGCCCTAGGAAGGGTGATAGTGCCCTGGAGACTCTCCAAGGACATGAATTTGAAAGCACAGCTGGAGACTCTGCTATGAGATGAGAATTCTCACCTTTGGTGTTAACCATGTTGTCACTGCAGTGAGAAAGGACCCATGGCAAGTCTCTGGTGCATACACATGACCCTTCCAGGAAAAAACTAAGAACAATAACTGGGCTCAGTTTGTCAATTAAATCACCTGAACGTCAGTTATGTTGCTTGTTTTGAGGGAAAGTAAAGCAGAAAGGAGTGAAATCTGCTAACTTCACTCTTACTCTTCAAAAAAAAATCACAACTTCTTAGCCAGTGTTCAGCCTCGGTGCTCACATGAGCTTCCTCACCCATTCTCTCCCCGATCCTTCAATAAATAGTGGGCTTTTCCAGTATTTCTCTGTGGGAAAAAAATAAGACACATCCCCTACACATTGGGCATTAGTGGCCCTTCTAGTAATTCCATAACATTAAGATTTGTCCTTAGCACCTTCCCACCTTTCCTATCAATGACTCTCTCCACCTTAGTGCCTTGGATGTCCCTCAGGTTACCCTGAAGCCTTTGTCTAGTCCTGTAGGCAAGCTCCATCAGTCAGTGTCCTCAAGACCAGTCTCCTGATTTCCTCCCCCATCAACACAACCCCTTTCTTTTTTTTCTTTTTATTGAGTTTATTGGTACATTTTAGGTCTACAGTCCAGTTACATTCATCATTGGGATCTTGTACCTTTACATGGCAGGTCTTGGTTCTCATTTCTTCCCTTTATCCCTGCCCTCCCTTCACCCCTCTCCTCCCCTCCCCATTTACAAACACTTCATTTCCATTTTTTCATTTTCTCATATTTTTTCTTTTCCCTTATTCCCTTTCCCCTACCCTTCCCACTTTCCCTACACCTCTAGCCCTTTTCTTCCTATTTCACATTGTTAATTATCTCATTAGGATCTTGTGTACTATTGTACTATTTTTCACACCAGAGAAACTATTTGGTATTTACACGTGTGACTTATTTGTTTGACTTAGGAGTATATCCTCAAAATGTATCCATTTTCCTATGAATGAATCTAATTTCTCATTCTTTATGTCTGAGTAGTATTCCATTTTATAGAAAAACCACATCTTCTTTATCCAGTTTCCAACTGATGGCAAATGGGCTGTTTTCAAGCTTTAGCTATTACAAACTGTGCAACTATAAACATAGGTGTGCATATATCACTGTGATATGATTCTTTTAATTCTTTTGGAAAGATACTCAGCAGAGGGATGGCTGGGTCAAACGGAACCTCTAGTCCCAGCTCTTTGTGGTATCTCCATATTGATTTCCATAGTGGTTGCACCAGTCTGCACTCCCACCAACAATGGAGAAGGGCTCCTTTCTCCCCACAACCTCGCCAACATTTGTTATTGTGTGATTTCTTGATAGCAGCCATTCTTTGTGGGGTGAGGTGGAATCTCAGTGTTGTTTTCATCTGCATCTCTCCAATGACCAGTGATGCGGAATATTTTTTCATACATTGACTAGCTGCTTTTACTCCTTTGAGAAATGTCTGTTCATTTCAGATGTCCATTTTTGAACTGGGTCTTTATATTTGGAGGGGCTGATTGTTTTGAGTTCTTTATATATTCTAGATAATAGTTCTTTGTCTGAGGAGCATCTGGTAAAAATTTTTTCCCACATTGTAGGTTGTCTCTTAGTTCTGTTGATGGTTTCTTTTGCAGTGCAGAAGCTTTTTAATAAGATGAGGTCCCAGTTGTTGATTCTTTCTGCTAGTTCCTCTGCTACTGAGGATTTGTTCATAAAGTCTTTTCTTATGCCAGTGTCTTCAAGAGTTCTGCCTAACTTATCTTCCAGCAAGTTTAGTGTTTCTGTTTGTTTGTTTTTTGGCACCAGGGATTGAACTCGGGTCCTTGCACTTGCAAGGCAGGCCACCGAACCACAGAGCTAAATCCCTGGCCCCTGCTTCTGTTTTAATATTTAGATCTTTAATCCACTTGGATTTTAATTTAGTGCATGGTGAAAGATAAGGGTCTAATTTTAATCTTTGGCATGTTGAGATCCAGTTTTTCCAACACCATTTATTAAAGAGGCTATCTTTCCTCCAGTGGGGATGGTCAGCTCCTTTTTCAAAGATGAGTTAGCTGAGTACATCTGGAGTTGTTTTTGTGTCTTTCAGTCTGTTCTACTGATCCTCAGGTCTGTTTTTTGCCAGTACCATGCTGTTTTTATCACAGTGGCTTTGTAGTATAGTTTCAAATTGGGAATTGTTATACCCGTTGCCACGTGTCTGTTGCCTAGGATGGCTTTTGCTATTCTAGGTCTCTTATGGTTCCAAATGAATTATTGGGTTCTTTTTTCTAGTTCTGTGAAATATAGTGTTGGAATTTCAATTGGCATTGCATTGAATCTGTATAGCAGTTTTGGTATATGGCCATTTTCACTATGTTGATTCTTCCTACCCTGGAGCAGGAGATATCTTTGCATTTTCTTGTATCCTCTTTGATCTCTTTTTTCAGAGTGCTGTAGTTTTCAGTGTAGAGGTCTTTTGCTTCTTTTGTTAGGTTGATTCCTAGATACTTCATTTTTTTGGATGCTATTGTGAAAGGAATTGTTTCCCTTATTTCTCTCTCAGTGAGTCTGTTATTTGTGTACAAGAAGGCGATTGATTTTTGGGTGTTGACCTTGTATCCTGCTACTCTGCTGAAAGTGTCAATTAAGTCTAGAAGTCTTTTGGTGGAGTTTTTTGTGTCTTCAATGTAGAGTATCATAGCGTCAGCAAATAATGACAGTTTAACTCTTCCTTTCCTATCTTTATTGCTTTAATTTCTTTCTCTTCTCTAATTGCTATGGCTAATGTTTCCAGAACTATATTGAAGAGGAGTGGTGATAGTGGGTATCCTTGTCTTCTCCTGATTTTAACGTGAAGGTTTTCAGTTTTTGGCCATTTAATATGATGACACAACCCCTTTCGATGGGGTCCTGCTGTTTCTTAAACTAACAATGAGTTACTTAGACAAATGACTGTCTATGGCTAGTAGAGATGTCTGATGCCTGTGAATCCATTGGTGTTGCTACTGTCTTACAAGGAAACAGACTCTGGTTTAAGCAGCATGGGAGATCACTAAAAGGATTCTGGGAAACTCCAGACACTGGAAAGAGTGAGGATCAGGCTTGGAAAATGAACCATAATAAGGGATGTTACGCCAAAGTTGGGACCACAGCTCACACCATGCCAGAAACAATAAGTGTGAAAATACAGCTGCAGCCGCCCCTTAATACTGGATACCACCCTCTGTATTGCTGCCACTGCAACAGGATCATGACCACTACTGCCACCCAGTACCAAAATAAACACTCGCCAAATTCTGCTGTGTTGTTAGCAGAGTCTGGGGCAAGTTCATGGTTGTGTCCCTTCCTAGCTCACAGAAGAGCTGGAAGAGCACATGCTGTAACTCTGGGTGAGGGGTCCAGATGAGCTCTGCTTCCTGCAGACAACAGAGTTCCTCAAAACAGGAAAAGAGGGCCGGGGATTTAGCTCAGTGGCATCATGCATGCCTCGCCAGCTGAAGATCCTGAGTTTGATCCCCAGTACCGGAAGAAAAAAAAAAATCTAAAAAACAGGAAAGGAAACGAGACATCAAGCAAAGACAATAACAACTATGCACCACACCATTTTTCCACAGTGAGAGCGTTTGAGCAGAGAACTGACAGCAAATTTTTAACATAAAGGAATAACTTGATGGTGGAAACTTCAGCCAGAGCCCTAGGCCAGCAATGAAGATCCAGAATAACCTTTGAACCCCCTCGAGTTCCTCTGTGTGGCTGACCACCCATTCTTCCTGTTTTAGGGACGAGTGTTAGCAGGGTTGAAGATTGAGAAATTGGAGCAGAGCCTTACCCTGCTGGTGGCAGTGTCCTCAGATGGCTGGGGGCTCTTATGAATTTATTCCATCAATAGGATGAAAATCTACTTTCTACGATTATTTCAGTGGGATGAGGTTAGATAGGGCAGGTGGATTTCCATCTCCAATCCTGAGCTGTGGTTTCTCCACTGCTTTGTCCACTCTCCCTGGATGAGAGAGAATATTCTAATGTCCTTTCAGGGATTTCTAGTGAGAGAAGGATCTGGACAACTTACTAGTTGCGTTCCCTCGTGGGACCCAAATGGTTGCCTACCTGCCAGACAGCCAGACTGGCCACCAGTGGTTCTTCCGCAGTGCACAGAGATGGGGTGCTGATCCTAGTGGCCACATGCCAGAATATTCAGACAGCAGAATATTCATAGTCAAAGACACTCTATGTCAAAGACTACTCTGTTAACATGAGCAGTGGTAATTCAGATTTTGAAAATCCAGTCATAGAACAAAAACCTAAGGTTTTCCTAGAGGTACAGTATAATATATATATAACATATATAACATATTATAATATATAATATA